ACAGTGGTATCGAGAAGCCGACCGTCCAGAAAGCAATGGCAAATTTACGGGGTTTAAACTTGCCTAGAAAAACCACAAAAGCCAAAAAAATGCTGGGGGTTGATTCTGCAACGACCAGTATAGGATACGCAACTAACATATACTTCATTCACTTACTATGTATCACAAAATATGGGACTCATGTCTCAACACAACAAATATATTTCAAAGTGGCTTACTCAACCTCTCAATTCAACTTGCACCAAAATGTGTTTATTCAACAACTCAACATAACCGCACCTCAGTATGTCCGACTCAAATTAAGTTACAACTCAACATAACTTACAGCCAACATTAACTTACAACTCAACATAACTTACAACTCAACATTAACTTACAACTCAACATAACTTTCAGCTAACATTAACTTACAACTCAACATAACTTACAACTAACATTAACTTACAACTCAACATAACTTACAACTAACATTAACTTACAACTCAAAATAACCTACAGCTCAACATAACTTACAACTCAACACAACTTACAACTAACATTAACTTACAACTCAATATAACTGATAACATGAATCAGCTTAAGACAAACACTTACTTAACATGATTAACTTTCTAGTTCAGAAGGGGTGTATTATTTAAAATACACCTATTAGTCCCTGGTTAGCAGGGATTTAAAAAAACAAAAACACAGACTCTTGAATGTTGAATTAAGAATCGAAATCACAGTACTCGGGACACCACGATAAGCGCTCTGTCCCCATCTTCAGCAGCAAGCGAAGAGTTAAAATTCCGATGGTACCAGTAACTGTCTGATTGTATATCCGTCTCGTCTTTCCTCTGAGTGTCGAGCGTCGGCCAGATCCCCTTGTAACTCATCACAGTGCAATTCTCAGCAGACCGTAATGATCTGTCTGTGCCTCAACACTCCTCACTGGTTTCCCAAAGGGCCCTCACAACATCCAGCTTGTTAGTTCACCACCAACTGGTGCACAACCCGCCAGTCTATCAAACTCCTCAATTTTTTTCAGCTCCTTGGAATTTGTGTTAACAGTTTTCAGTGCATATTTTTCAGAAATTCAAAGTTCATTATATCTGAATGAGCGGTAAACAATCTAAAATGTTCTGTGTCATAATAAAATACTCTAAAATGGGCTATCTTCCGAACAACGGTCCCAAATCATTGAGGCAGAAAATATACCCTAACAGGGCCTCAGTCACGTGTCAATCGCGCACTTCCGGCGACTATACTGCCACAGCCGAATTGCGAACTTTCGGCAACTATACCGCCACAGCTGAGAGTATCCCCCACGCCGCGTGAACGGCGTGGATTGGGGCTAAACTAGATGGCTAGGACTCACGAGCAAAAAAAATCAAGGCAGCTGCAGGAAATGCGGTAGCTGCTGCTCGTGAGTCCCAGCCATCTAGTTGAGCCTCAATCCACGCCGCGTGAGCGGCGTGGGGGATACTCTCGGCTGTGGTGGAAGTGTTCAATTTAAATCGCCGGAAGTGCGCAATTGACACGTGACTGAGGCCCTATTAGGGTACATTTTCTGCCTCGATAATTTGGGACCGTTATTCGAAGATAGCCCTAAAATGTTCTGCGATCTGTAATCTACTCTAAAGTATGCTAAAAGAGTCATCATTTTTTAATTCGGGGTTGCATTACAAGATGAGAGAAACTGGAGAAAATCGTAGCAAATGGAATGACTTAGATTTTTAAAACAAATACAGAAAGACAATGATAAAGATGTAGAGGGATACAGAGAGAGATAAAAAGATGGAGACTTAGAGCTGACAGAGAGTGACGGGGAGGGGGAAGAGAAAAACAGAGAGAGACAGAGACAGAGAGAGAGAGAGAGACAGAGAGAGAGAGTGGGAGAGAGGGAGACAGAGAGAGAGAGATAGGGAGAGAGGATCCCTGAAAGCTTTTCACTACGGTGTGAAAAACAGGACACAAAGAGAAATATTATATAGATCACAAGGTGTGGAGAAGCATGCACAAAGCATGATCTCCACAACTCCAGGGACAGTCCCTAAGGACTTGACTTGCAATCCACACAATGGAGTCTGCAACAGAACCTAAGACCCTGACAGCATAAAGCAAGTGGTCTAAATATATCACCAGATGCCCCCCCCCCCCCCCCCCCCCCCCCCGTCCTGCCAACAACAGATATGCCCCATTAGTCAAGCTGGAATGTATAGCTGCCATCTAACAGTCTTCAATAAAGGCTGATGTATTTTGGCTACATTAAACTCTATGGTGGTCTGGAGAGAATGGCGATTAATGTAGGGTACAGTTTCTGAAATATGATGTGGAGGCAGATATCTGCGAAGGTGGGATACAAGGCATTGACGATGCATTGGGTATGAAAGCACACAGGGCTGGAAAACTGGCTGCAGAGAGACTGAGGCGTGCTGTGATAAGAGTAAAGTTCTCAAAAGGACCTGCTGACTGAGGCTGCATAATCTTCAATGTCTCAATTCTGAAGCTAGCATCTCAACTCTCTCATTTCCACATCCCCCTGCATGAAGCAGACAGCAGACAAGACTAACGTTCTACACCTTAGCAAGTGGCACACACAACAACAACACACCACTATATTTAGTTGGGGGGGCTGCATGGTCTCGAGGCATGGTGTCCGCCTCCAGTGCTGGAGGTCCTGGGTTCAGGCCCTGGTGAAGGCTGGGATTTTTTCACTGGGACTTCTAGTCATTTCCCCCTGATCTCTGGGCAGTCAGATGGGATGCCTGTGTGTATTGTTGCGCACGTAAAAAATCCCTTGGCAGTTGGAAATCAAAAAGAGTAGCTTAACGGCGCTGCCCAGACAAAATTTGGAGTTTAAAATCTACCCAAATATTTCAGGATCCTTGCCGGTGCTATGGAGCTCGTTAACTGTGCTGAGCTTCTTCGGACTCAAACTTGATATGCCATGATGTTGATCCATTGTTCAACCATTTAGATTGCAGAAATAACCCACTACATTTAGCTGCAGAAGTGGAAGATAATGATGATGGTGAATCCTGTTAGACTCATCCGTTATGAACTTTCAGCAGCATGGACTATTGTGCTGCCCTTTCCTTTCGCTATCCCTGTTCTGTCTTTTACCTTCAGGTCATCAGAATTTAGATTGTGATGGTAATACACTGAAATGTTTAAGGGTATTACAAATATTAAAAACTGGACTCAATGACCAGGAACAAATGTGAAGGATACTGTTCAAAGTGATTGTCACACATGTGGTAAACACGTAATACTGCTTGTCATACAATTTTCTCCCAGATTATTGCACACCAAGTAACTCTGACAAACAGAAGCCAGCTGTAGCACAACATATTTCACAGACCCGCAGACATCTGTTGACAGTGCCATCTGGTGTCATTTTACTCATTCTACTGACTGTCTTTTATTCAGTCTCATCTATCCTCAATGAAATCTACTGACAATTAAAATGATTTACTAAAATATAGTTTTCTTATGACAGTGTCATCAAATGATGGTTTTATCTCGTCACTGTGTTACCTACTGACAGAGCCAACTACTGGCAGTGCCATATAGTGACAGTGTCACCTACTGACACAGCCATCTACTGACATATTTACTTACTGAAGACAAAAATATACAAAGTAATGGCTGCTTCTTAGGGTAGAGTTTTTTCCTAATAGTTTTGCCAAAGCAATGACATTCCTGTCTGCTTATTTCAGTTTTATTTGGCCATTCTTTTTCTTCTTCTTCTTCAGCATTCCAAGCCCTTGAGGTTCACTGCTGCAGATATCCCCCACCTCCATTCATCTCTCTGGTTGGCCTTCTCTTTCCAGTTGGTAACACCAAGTGTTTGCAGGTCTGTCTGGATATTATCTCTCCATCATCTTCTTGGTCCGCCTCGTGGTCTATGACCATTCATCTCCCTGGTGTATACAGTTTTTACTTCTCTGTCATCTGACATTCTTTCAATATGTCCCAATCATTTACGGCCATTAGGATTTTAAAGTTTGAACAACTTGCCTACAATAAAATAAACAATACAATGTAATGGCAGCACAAAGAGTTATCAAACTACAGTTGGACACGGCCAAAGGTTTTGAGATTCCCGGTCTTGTAGTAGAGTCTGGCTTGCCAGCCAGCCAATCTATCACCTCTTTCATTGCCAGCATGCCACAGGAAAGAGTAGTGCACTACAGTGAAGCTGTAAATACCATGAAAGTGCCCAATCTTTTGACAGTTTAAGTCACTGACAGTATAAAATCATCATCATGTAACAGGTCCTTTGCAGAACGTCACTCTGCAAATGGTCTACCTGAAAGAAACTCACGGTACTTCCCTACCCTACCTATACCCTGTCAGTATGAACTAGTATTAACCTACTGGCAGTGGATATCAGGTCTGCATACCCGTCCTGATGGGTTGCAGACCAACTGTTGCTGTTTGTAGATTTCCTATTGCAGCCTGCAGCACAACATTGCTATGGGAATTTAGAAATGTGACCCGGGACCTGCAGCACATTCACCACAATGACATCAGTTATGGCAATTATTTCCCTAAATTACATTTATTATAATAACTCTTCCCTAAAACTATTCTAAAGATAACAACTGTTCTCTAAAACTACACTAAAGACAACAACTGTTCTGTAAAACTGTATTAATTATGGTAACTGTTCCTTAAAACCATATAAAAAACAATAACTGTTCCATAAAACTATGATAGTTATAGTAACTGTTCACTAAAACCATATTAAAGATAACAACTGTACCCTTAAAATACATTAAGTATAGTAACTGTTTTCTAAAACTATATTAATGACAACAATTGTTCCCTTAAACATTCACTGTTCCCAAAAAACAACATACACTATAACAACTCTTACATAAATATTATTTACATATGGGTAAAAGCTAATTTCCCAACTAAACACTGACAGTTTTGAAGATGATGAAATTCAGAGCTCACATTCAGTTTTGACAAATGTTTTTACCTATAATTATTTCAAAATAACCTAATTTTTAATCAGCCTCTCTATAGTTTGGCTCTACCGAAATGAAATAATCGTCAAAATAAACAAACAAGTGCTCAAATGTCGGCCGCTGCTCAGGTCGTTCCAACCAGCACTCGAGCATTTTGGTATAAACCCCATCTGGCGTATTGGCAGGCTTGTCCATTCTGTAGCCTCTCTCCACCTGGTCAAGTACAGTCTTGTTGTCCATGCCTGTCAAGGGATGAACAGGATACATTCAACAACAGAATTTTATCGCTGCCAGAAATGTCAATGGTGACAGCATCTCAAAAGTATTAAGTACGTGTTTATCCTATAAGTGAATCTGCCACTTTGACAGGACTGTAAGAAAAACAAGTTAAACTGGGTTAAGCCAGACAAGAGTTAGTTAGTTAGTTAGTTGGGTTATCCTCATTGCACTCCGGACATGTCCATAGGTGCTCAGATCCTCCCCTCAGTATGAACCTCAACGTCCGATGGCTAATAGTACCAGTTCTATGTTGAATAACAAGTCTTCTGGCGTAGCTGGTGTGCTATGGAAAAGGGAAAAAAAGACTGGGAAACCAACAGGACCATGCCACTATCTTCTAACCAGTCAATACTGTTGTTAAGGATGTCCAGAGTGTTAAGCATGTGTCATTACATAGCAGACAAACAGAGTGACACCATCATGAAGTTTAAAGATGGCCACCCCATTCCTGGCATGCTTAACAATATTAAAAGGTTCACCGGTTGTAAACTTTTGCAGGTTCTGGTTGTTCGTCCACTTCTGGACTTTGGTCTTGTTCCAGTACCTCAGTCTGGCTTTCCCATCTGTTTTACAGGTCTGGTTTATTTGTGTGCAGACTGTTGGGACCATCTTTATCTTCAAGTAATGACAGTCATTGAAATTAACAGTAAAAATCCAGAGGAGTGACTTCCCTGTACTGGGATATCTCACATGGCTCAGTCACTCTACCCAGAATGGCCAGCCAAATGCGAGGAGAGCTGTACAAAAGATAAACTCAAAGCTCCAGCAATGACCCCTAGGGATCTCTGCAGAATTTGTACTTGTGAACTAAATGCTGCATCTATGAAATTCTTCTTCTTTTCTTCTTCACGTTTACCAGCCATAAACACTTACGGAAAATTCTGGCTGTTCATCCACTTCTGTACTGCAGTCGTATTCCAGAACCTGAGTTTTGCGTGTGCATCTGGTTTACAGATCCGACTCATTTGTATGCAGACTGCTGGTTCCTTGCCTCTCGGGCAGATGCAGTCTGACTTCAAAGGAAGCTCCTAATTAGTCTACTTTTACGACATGATTTTGGATAGGCAGTAGGTCTATTCTTGTTTTCCAAACAAAAAGGTCCCAGAACCCACACGGTGAATCTATGAAATAAACCCACGACTTTCAAAGTAGGAACCAAACAACTTGAAAACTTGGCCATGGAGATTACTCAGTCATTGAATACTTCCTTTGAAGTCAGAACGCGTCTACCTGACAGATGAGGAACCAACAGTCTGCATACAAATAAGCCAGATCTGTAAAATAAATGTGCCTCCAAAACTCAAGTTCTGGAACAGGACCAAAGTCCAAAAGTGGACAACTTTCCGCTGGAGTTTACAGCTGGTGAATGCTAGGAAGAAGGGGAGTGACTGAAGAATACACCAGAAGATAACAACTATACTTAAGGAAATAACCTCAACAGTAGTGATCTAACACTGAAGATGTGCAAACATAACAAGTAGACTCAAACAGAAACGTCATCAGCAATGATCCAACAGCACCTGGATATGGTATCCTGCCTCTGGTCATCAGCTCGTACAACAATATACCAAATGACCATACATCGGACTTCACAGAAAACTTTTGCCGCAGAGCAGCTTCTGGGGCTGTCCATTTAATTGGGAATCGTGAAACTGCAGAAAAAAATCCCAATGATTTAGACTGTATACAAGTAAGAGCACACAATTTCCATTTACCGAACAGTTAATCAATGATTTAGTCAAATAATGATTCAGTCAAATAATGATTCAGTCAAATAATGATTCAGTCAAATAATGATTCAGTCAAATAATGATTCAGTCACATAATGATTCAGTCAAATAATGATTCAGTCAAATAATGATTCAGTCAAATAATGATTCAGTCAAATAATGATTCAGTCACATAATGATTTAGTCAAATAATGATTGAGTCAAATAATGATTCAGTCAAATAATGATTCAGTCAAATAATGATTCAGTCACATAATGATTCAGTCACATAATGATTCAGTCAAATAATGATTCAGTCAAATAATGATTCAGTCAAATAATGATTCAGTCAAATAATGATTCAGTCAAATAATGATTCAGTCACATAATGATTTAGTCAAATAATGATTGAGTCAAATAATGATTCAGTCAAATAATGATTCAGTCACATAATGATTCAGTCAAATAATGATTCAGTCAAATAATGATTCAGTCAAATAATGATTCAGTCAAATAATGATTCAGTCACATAATGATTCAGTCAAATAATGATTCAGTCAAATAATGATTCAGTCAAATAATGATTCAGTCAAATAATGATTCAGTCACATAATGATTTAGTCAAATAATGATTGAGTCAAATAATGATTTGGTCAAATAATGAGGCAGTCAAATAATGAGGCAGTCAAATAATGATGCAGTCAAATAATGATTAGGTCAAATAATGATTCAGTCAAATAATGATTAGGTCAAATAATGATTCAGTCAAAAAATGATGCAGTCAAACAATGATTTAGTCAAATAATGATTGAGTCAAATAATGATTTGGTCAAATAATGAGGCAGTCAAATAATGAGGCAGTCAAATAATGATGCAGTCAAATAATGATTAGGTCAAATAATGATTCAGTCAAATAATGATTGAGTCAAATAATGATTCAGTCAAATAATGATTCAGTAAAATAATGATGCAGTCAAATAATGATTCAGTCAAATAATGGTTAGGTCAAATAATGATTCAGTCAAATATTGATTAAGTCAAATAATGATTTGGTCAAAAAATGATTGAGTCAAATAATGATTCAGTCAAATAATGATGCAGTCAAATAATGATGCAGACAAATAATGATTCAGTCAAATGATGATTCAGTCAAATAATCATTTGGTCAAATAATGATGCAGTCAAATAATCATTCATTCAAATAATGATGCAGTCAAATAATCATTCAGTCAAATAATGATGCAGTCAAATAATGATTCAGTCAAATAATAATGCAGTCAAATAATGATTCTGTCAAATAATGATTCAGTCAATTAATTATAACAGTTTACCAATGATTGAGCTAATTAATTATTCAGTAAATTAATCAATTAGTTAAACAAACACTGTCAATCACTTAATCAACCAAGTCTTGACTCCACAATGAGACGGCTGTAACAGATTTCGTAAACTCTCTTTAAGGCAGCCCATACTGTCAAGCTGCTGTAAATTTTATCCACTCCCCACCTGCATCTCTAAATCTTGACTGGCATGCCTGTAATTCACCTCTCCAGGTTTTTTTGTTTTCTGGTATTACACTAAAGAAATGTACAAACTTTTGTTTTCTGGTATTACATTAAAGAAATGTACAAACTTTTGTTTTCTGGTGTTACACTAAAGAAATGTACAAACTTTTGTTTTCTGGTGTTACACTAAAGAAATGTACAAACTTTTGTTTTCTGGTATTACATTAAAGAAATGTACAAACTTTTGTTTTCTGGTATTACATTAAAGAAATGTACAAACTTTTGTTTTCTGGTGTTACACTAAAGAAATGTACAAACTTTTGTTTTCTGGTGTTACATTAAAGAAATGTACAAACTTTTGTTTTCTGGTATTACATTAAAGAAATGTACAAACTTTTGTTTTCTGGCATTACACTAAAGAAATGTAAAAACTTTTGTTTTCTGGCATTACACTAAAGAAATGTACAAACTTTTGTTTTCTGGTATTACATTAAAGAAATGTACAAACTTTTGTTTTCTGGTATTACATTAAAGAAATGTACAAACTTTTGTTTTCTGGCATTACACTAAAGAAATGTACAAACTTTTGTTTTCTGGTATTACACTAAAGAAATGTACAAACTTTTGTTTTCTGGTATTACACTAAGGAAATGTACAAACTTTTGTTTTCTGGTATTACACTAAAGAAATGTACAAACTTTTGTTTTCTGGTATTACATTAAAGAAATGTACAAACTTTTGTTTTCTGGTATTACATTAAAGAAATGTACAAACAAAATGAAAATGATAAAACTATTCAAAAGTTGAAAAAAAAAATATTTAAATACAAAAAAATTATCAAAACAAATTATAGTAGGTCTTTTTAAACTAACAAACTAAGGACACTGCAGTGGTATGCCTCCCCCCAACAAGCAGCAACAAGAACAAAACCACAATACAAAGAAGATAATGACACTGAGGTTATTATAGTCAGGCACTAATATATTATGCAATCAATTGAAACAAACATGAAATGGCAGAATAAAAAAAATATGTGATACTTAACCAGTCTTATTTTCGAAAGAGTGAAAGCTCTCCCTTTTATGATTCAGAATGGTAAAGCACAACATGTTTTATTTTATTCTGCATTCTTGTTTTTGTTTATGTATATACATATTGTATTGCCTTAACTCTTTGAGTCCCAGGGGGTTTTGCATCACAGGCCCAGGTGGTAGTAAAGGGAGTCATGAAATCGGTGCATCATACATTCATTGGGTTTCTAGGTAGAAACCTATGAACGTATGATGCGTTCCTTGGGACTCAAAGAGTTAATGAGGTTACTTCAGCGTGATTTCCTTGTGTGTGTGTGTGTTTGTGTGTGTGTGTGTGTGTCCAAACTTGATGCTCTCCAGGGACCCATTTTGTCAAGGACAAGGAAAAGACCCACTGCTCCCTATCAAGCACGTTGTACAAGGTGATTAATTATGGATGATTTCTTCAAAGTCAGAATGCATCTACCTGAGGGGTAAGGAACCAACAGTCTACTTAGAAATAAGCCCAATCTGTGAAATGGATTAGCATGCAAAACTTCTGGAACAGGACCAAAGTCCAGAAGTGGCTGAACAACCAAACGTTCTGCCAGAGTTTATAGCTGGTGAACTCTAAGAAGAAGAAATACAAACCTTTTGGATTATATTCTTCATTGTCTAAAATCCTGGCCAAGCCAAAATCAGCAACTTTGACGATGTTGTTCTCTCCCACAAGAATATTTCTGGCTGCCAAGTCTCGATGGATAAAGTTTTTCTGTTCTAAATAGGCCATGCCACTAGCAACCTAATGATGGATCACACAAAAATAGATGGGTATTACGTATTATAAAATCTATAAAGGTCGAGTGAGAAATGACACTATCAGACAGATTGTGGGAACAACCCCTTGTACTAGCTTAACTGAGAAGCAGAAGATGAAAGACTGGTCATAACATTAGAATGCAGTCACAACAACTACCAACACAGAGCCTAAAGAGAACCATTTCTGAGAACAATAGGATGCCAAAGGAAAAGACGGATTTATCATCATCATCATAAACCACTCCTGGCATTCAGCATCATGGGGAGAAATAATTTGTGATCTAGGGCATGCTGGCTGGCACTGGCTATTGTCATGTTGTGAAGGGGTAAAGTGTCTTTGATGTTGTCAATCCATTTTGGTTGTGGCCATCCTCTTATTCTTGTAGATGATCCTTTGAGATGCACTACCTGTGATGGTGTCTGATTTTGCTGCATTCTATCGAGATGGCCGAACCACTTAATCTGATGTTTCTCAATAAATGTAATGCAGTGGTTCTCAAACTACCTAATGCCGTGACTCTTGATGTTCCTCATTTTGTGGTGACCCCCAAAGATAACATTATTTTCGTATCTACTTCATAACTTCAGTGAACATGTGTCTTCCGATGGTCTTAAGTAACTCCTGTGAAAGGTCGTTTGACCCACAAAAGGGTCGCCACCCACAGGTTGAGAACCGCAGGTCTAGTACAAGGGGTTGTTCCGACAACCTGTCTGATAGTATCATTATTGACTTGTTCTTGAATAGTTAGGTTGGTGGCTTTTCTCAGGCAACTCATCTAGCAGCTGGTGATTTTGCACATACAAGCTTTAGATGATTCCATGTCTGGCACTTACAGCTCAATACTGGTGTGAATGCTGTTTATTTATGGATGGAGTGATGACAGTGAAGACACTTATTACAGATCCACACTAAATTTTCAGAATACCAAGGACAAAGAAGAGAAGAAATACTGACATTTTAAAAGATCTGAACATCAAGGATGACTGGCTAATAAATAGAATCTTGTCTCGGAAGCTGAAATAATTTTGGTCATATCAAGTGCCATAAGTAAAGAAAAGTAAGTGAATATCCTTTTACACGCCTTTAGGTGCATCGGGCATATGGAAAGAGCACCCATATTTTTACAGACCAATCGGCACTCGGTAGGTTATGTGGTCAGCATTACGCCGGCCGTCTTTACTTCCCCAGGACAAGTGCCATGGCGGATTGGAAAAAAAATGTTGAAGGCATGGTACCAGGAAGGAGGGGCAGAGGCCAACTAGCACGAAGATGGGCACAGGATATAAGTGACTCTTTGACTATTAATGTACATGAGGTGAGAGAGCTGGCGAGAGACCGAGTTTCTTTCAGGCAGACTGTGATGACAAGCGACGTTCGGCCAAGGACCTGCTACGTGATGATGACACTAAATGACAACAGCCAGTGCTGCCCAACAAGCTCTGGACAGCAAACTGGTCCTCATCATGACATTTATGACAAAACTGCAAGTTGATGATTCCTCATCAATCAGCATGTCCTTTAGGGAACGTCGCCCTCGTCACGGCACGCCTGAAAGTATCTCTTTCTTTAGCCTATTTTCCAGCCCTATGTGCTTTCACAGGCAATGCATCTTCCGTGTCTTTTATCCATCTTTGTGGAGGTCTGGGTGGTTTTCTGAAAATTGCACTCTCCATCAGGGTCCTCTACAGGCCACCATGACAATTACCATGGTCAAAATAGCTGAGCTTTTGGGAATGGAAGTTAATGACGTTAGTGACGTTCAGCAAAGGACCTGCTACATGATGATGAACTGAACTTATCCATAACATAGAGGACAAGCAAGAGATTTTAGATGAAAATCAATGCCTATGCCAGTCAGCATAGCATATGATGATAGTAAAGTAAAGTAAAGATCCCTTGTCAGGCCTTTCGTTGCATTGGGCATAAGAGAATAGCACCCATATTTTTACAGACCAATCGATACTAGGTGGGTAATGTGGTCAGCATTACGCTGGCCATCTTTACTTCCCCAAGACATACATCCTGGTACCCATTTTAGGCTGGGTCGACCTGCAAAGTCGCATACCATGATAAAAATCCCTGCAGCCAGAAGTGGGTGTCGATCACGGTACGCTGGAATTACGAGTCACTTAATGATAATGACATTATACAAACTAAAACCGACTTTACACAAATAAATAAAATGTATTCTCACAAAATGAGCCAATCACTAATGTCTAGCGGCATTACGTTACCTGCGAGGCCATGTCTATCAAGTGGGTCAGAGTGATCTGCCTATGTCTATCATTGCGTAGATAGTCCAAAAGGCTACCATTGGCCATCAGCTCCGTGACAATAAATATTGGCTCCTCCTTCGTGCACACCGCATACAAACGGACTAACTTATCATGTCGCAGCATCTTCATAATCTGTGCTTCCTGCAAATGTATATAGAATAAATTTGTTTGAAAACACATAATCGATTTAGTCAACTTTATAATAATTGTTTCTTACACTGGCTGCACTCTCTCTCAAACTGCTATTTATTTATTTTTTCTTTGTACAGGACGATGGTTTCCCGAATTTTTCAAGTTTTAAAATTGGGGGTTGTTTTATACTTGGAATGTGTTTAAAATTCTTATTTCTTAATTTTAGGCTAACAAATTTAGGGCGTCTTATAGTCGGAATGTGTTTAAAATACTTATTTCCTAATTCTAGGCTAAAAAGCATTATTATACTCGGAATGTGTTTACAATTCTTATTTCTTATTTTTAGGCTAACAAAAAATTGGGGGTCGTATTATACTCGGAATGTGTTTACAATTCTTATTTCTTATTTTTAGGCTAACAAAAAAATTGGGGGTCGTCTTATACTCGGAATGTGTTTACAATTCTTATTTCTTATTTTTAGGCTAACAAAAAATAGGGGGTCGTCTTATACTCGGAATGTGTTTACAATTCTTATTTCTTATTTTTAGGCTAACAAAAAATTGGGGGTCGTCTTATACTCGGAATGTGTTTACAATTCTTATTTCTTATTTTTAGGCTAACAAAAAATAGGGGGTTGTCTTATACTCGGAATGTGTTTACAATTCTTATTTCTTATTTTTAGGCTAACAAAAAATTGGGGGTCGTCTTATACTCGGAATGTGTTTACAATTCTTATTTCTTATTTTTAGGCTAACAAAAAAATTGGGGGTTGTCTTATACTCGGAATGTGTTTACAATTCTTATTTCTTATTTTTAGGCTAACAAAAAAATTGGGGGTCGTCTTATACTCGGAATGTGTTTACAATTCTTATTTCTTATTTTTAGGCTAACAAAAAAATTGGGGGTTGTCTTATACTCGGAATGTGTTTACAATTCTTATTTCTTATTTTTAGGCTAACAAAAAATTGGGGGTCGTCTTATACTCGGAATGTGTTTAAGATTCTTATTTCTTATATTTGGCTGAAACAAAATGGGGGTCGTCTTATACATGTGACGTTATGTTGATCACATCGCCCACCGAATGCTGACTGGTCTACACAAATAAAGGACCAGTCCTATCAGCCCCAATACGCCCAAAGGTATGGAAAAGGGGTCCCTGACTTATATCTGTGGGAGTCTTACACATGGACAAAATACAGTACCACCTCTTGGTGTATTTCTCCCACTTGTATCATGTCTACCACTTTATCACATCTGTTTCAACTTGTCATGCCAGTACTGCTGGCAGAAGAGTGTTGTGGCATTTAATGTGGTTGAAATATTTCAATCATAATAATACTTTTTTCAAACAACATTTTAATTTTTAGTATCTTCAGAAATGAATTTTTTCTCTTTGAAATCCAACAAATATAAACATTTCAGCATGTGTCCCAAATTTAAACCACTGCTACTGAACCGTTCAATTAGGGCCTAATCCTTTTCTTTGTTAGAGAGCCACACAGCAAAGTGGTTAGATGCTTATCTGCCGGCCCAGAGGTCTTGGGTTTAGGTCTACTGTTCCCTGGCTACCAGGCAGTGTCCTGAGAAGTAAAGGTTGTCGGTGTGATGTTGAAAACATCATCTATCAGGTGCCAATTGGTTTGAAACAAAATATAAGTCGAACTGAACATGCCCGATGTACCACTGGCATAAAATGGGTCTTTTACCTTTTTTATTTTTGTAAACATAATCAATCATCTTGTTTCGGTAACTGAAACATTTTGGCCACATCAAGTGACGAATTGGAAACATGCAGCAGACAGCATGGCACCAAGAAAGAGGGGCAAATGCCAACCAGCAGGAGCACAGGATGTGGGAGACATCCTGGGTAGTAAAGTGCGAGAGCTGGCGAGGATTTCTGAGGCAGACTGACAAAAGTGACGTTCGGTAAAGGACCTGCTACATGAAGATGAATCATGCTCTTTACCTCACCCATCTGGGTCAGCAGGCTACATCAAAGGTAGCAAATGAAGTAGCCATAAAGTCAAGAATCTCATTTCTCGCCAGAGTCGCCAGGCATATGATGCTACACTCATAACTTTTTAGACGAATTGGTCCTCGGTGGGTGATGTCATCATCCCTCTGGTTGACTTTACTTCCCAGGATATTACTTGGTACCCATTTCAAGCTGGGAGCCAAGGTCAATTTTTTGTTCTTAATTTGTCTGGATGCAGATTTGAACCCTAGACCTCGGGGCCAGCAGGTTAGTGTCTGGCCACTATAGTACCTTAATGTAGCCACATGGTACCAAATTAGAACCATCTTAGGAGGTGTACCTGGTATACGTTCCTGTTGTATTGACATCCATGTAGCTATTGAATGCAGGTGTGTTTAAAAAGGAACAGACAGACAGACTAGCTGGTGCTGCACCACTGAGTGGTGAACTGTGTGTGACAAGCTAGATATGGCAGCATGTGAACTATGTGGAGACACAAACAGATCAGTATGGTCTGGAGAGAATGCTACAGTGAGGAGGGAGTGACCAGGGGATGTGATCTACACTCAGAGGAGATATAAACAAACTGCTAGTGGCAACACTGGACATGAAACTCTTCACTGGCTGCTGAAGATGAAGACAGAGCCCTTACTGGAAATATAAACAAACTGCTAGTGGCAACACTGGACATGAAACTCTTCACTGGCTGCTGAAGATGAAGACAGAGCCCTTACTGGAATGCCCCGAGGGCTGTGAAAATCAGTTGCTAGCTCAACACTCAACAGGCAGACTGGCTGGCTCGTGCTGTACCACAGAGTGGTGAACTCATGAATGATGTGTGTCAAACCTCTCTGGGAGCAAGTCAACAATGCGGAAGCACAAATATCATTAGGCTGTGGTGAGAACGGCCCAGCATGCAGTGACCAGGCGATCAGGGTAACATTCTACACTCAGAGAAAAAGCAAGACGGACGCACAGTAAAACTGCTATCGACATCATCAGCCCTGAAGATCCTTTGCTAACAGCTGAAGATGGGAACCGAGTTGAGCCGTCTTAACAGCACTAAAGGCCCCTGGGCAAACCAGTGTGCTAGGGACCACCTTCTAGCAGCAGTCAGCCTGAAGTCATCTCCTTCTTTTTCATGTTGACTAGCTGTAAATTATGGCGGAAAGTTCCAGTTGTTCACCCACATCTGGACATTAATCTTTAGTTCTGTGTGCACATCCGTTTTACAAACCTGGCTTATTTTTTTTTTGGCAGACTACTTGTTCCTTGCCTCTCAGGCATATGTACTCTGACTTTGAAGAAAACATCCATAATTAACTCTTACAACATGTGGGTCTTTTTTGTTTTTTTCTTGTTCTTCCCATAATGGGCACCCAGAACCAACGCAGCAAAGTCAGCCTATAGTCAGTCAGTCTGGAGTCATTCATTCAGTCAGTCAGTCAGCCTGCAGTCAGTAAGTGAGTCTGGAGTCAGTCAGTCAGCCTGGAGTCAGTCAGTCAGCCTGGAGTCAGTCAGTCAGTCAATCAGCCTAGTGTGAGTCAGTCAGCTTAGAGTCTGTCAGTCAGTCAGCCTGGAGTCAGTCAGTCAGTCAATCAGCCTAGTGTGAGTCAGTCAGCTTAGAGTCTGTCAGTCAGTCAGCCTGGAGTCAGCACCAAATCGAGTCAGTCAGTCAGTAACTCAATCAGTCAGCCTGGAGTCATTCAGTCAGTCAGCCTGGAGTCATTCAGTGCTCTTTACCTGTAAAAAGTGGACAACGCTCATTGATCCTTGCTTCAGAGTCTTTATTGCAACATCCGTGGTACCTTTCCATGTACCTGAAGAGTCACAACATTTATGGTCTTATCATTACCTGCTCTATACAAACTGTAGTGAAGTCATGATTGTCTTATGGCAGTGTGTCCCAAACTTGTCCTAGTCACTGCGCCTTTTTTCAATTCAAATTTGTCCATGATGCCCTTACCTAAGTAAAAGTATGACTATTCATATGTAAGAGATAAAAAAACAACAACAAAAACTCATGTATCTTCAAATATTTTGCAGCGCCCCTGTGAAGAGGTCACGGCTCCCCGGGGTGTAACAGCGCAGTTTTGGAATCACTGTCCTGTGGTAAATTCCACTGAGCTAGAATTCACTTCTGCTAGACATGGCATAATAAGATGGACTGGCCAATCCCATCCTCAGCCTTAATTCCTAGACAATACTTTAAATTAGGGCTAAAGCACACCATAAGGGAAGACACAGTGGTGCAGTGGCTAGCAGGGTTGCCTGGCTGTCTGGTAGTCACATGTTCAAATGCTGAGATATTTTACAAATGACCTGGCCTAGAAGGTCAGCTGCTATAAACTGCCATTACAGCCTATATTTTACCACTTTTGCAGTGTAGGCAAGGGGGTTCTTTGAGTCCGATGATTTAGGCCCGTGTGGCTGGGGCTGCCACTATGCACTGAGTAGGTTAGGAGTTTTTTTATGCCTCCAACAGAAAACAATTCCCAGCAAGGATTCGAACCAAGGTATCTCGCATGAGAGCCCTGCATCCCTAACCATTCTCCCAGGTCTACACAGTTTTAAAATTGATACCTGGAATTGTTTAGGACAGTAAAGCTGCTGAGTTGACAGCGAACATATTATATCGAGCACCATATTCTTCTGGATGGCACCTCTCTCTTCCCAGACAATAATGTTACGTTGAGCAGTCGGGAGGCAAGGCAAGCACAGCCCATGGCGATCAATTAGAGCCAGTGATGAAGTTCCTTCTCTCGATAGCACAAATCGTGGGCAGTACTGTAGAGACAAGAGACAATCTATTGTCCATGCAACAGACACTATACTGCCCATGCAACAAGATTCTTCTTTTACCCTGCCTTGTTTACTCTAAAGTAACAACAAGTTTGGAACAAAGCATGCTAGAGAAGTTGCAAGAGCAGTTCTCTGTTCGTTAGGGTATCAAGCATAATTTTTCAATTAAAACTCCACTGGAGTATCTTGAACCTGAGCCTAACTACTGAGAGGTATTAACTTGGAGGTCTGAATGTGAATAAAAATAAGAAGAATAAGAAATAAATATATAAACAAAAAAAGAGACACAACCTTTATAAACTTCACCAAACTGGCCAGATCCTAGCAAAGTTTGAAGCTGCAGTGTGTGTCTGGGGATCTCCCACAGGTCTTTGGTTTCCACCGACAAGTCTTGCATGACAGGTTTTGGCCTCGGGCAAACAGATGTCAGTCTCCTACACAAACCGTCCTCTCGATCTGTCAAAAGAATATTTCTGAAATCACAAGTGATGTTCCAGTCATCAATTTAGGTATGTCAATAGTACCAAACTACACCAAGAGACCACTGATCAAATAGACTGCTCGTGTGTAAAAACTACCACAGAACAGTGTAACCTAGAGAGTTCTGTCACTGATCAAATGGTTTGCTCATATGTAAAGACTGTCACAGGACAGTGTAACGTAGAGAGTCCTGTCACTGATCAAATGGTTTGCTCATGTGTAAAGACTGTCACAGGACAGTGTAAGGTAGAGAGTTCTGAGACTGATCAAATGGTTTGCTCATGTGTAAAGACTGTCATAGGACAGTGTAACGTAGAGAGTTATGTCACTGATCAAATGGTTTGCTCATGTGTAAAAACTGCCACAGGACAGTATAACGTAGAGAGTTCTGTCACTGATCAAATGGTTTGCTCATGTGTAAAGACTGTCACAGGACAGTGTAACGTGGAGAGTTCTGTCACTGATCAAATGGTTTGCTCAGGTGTAAAGACTGTCACAGGACAGTGTAATGTAGAGAGTTCTGTCACTGATCAAATCGTTTGCTCATGTGTAAAGACTCACAGGACAGTGTCACCTAGAGAGTTCTGTCACTGATCAAATGGTTTGCTCATGTGTAAAGACTGCCACAGGACAGTGTAACGTAGAGAGTTCTGTCACTGATCAAATGGTTTGCTCATGTGTAAAGACTGTCACAGGATAGTGTAACATAGAAAGTTCTGTCACTGATCAAATGGTTTGCTCATGTGTAAAGACAGCCACAGGACAGTGTAATGTAGAGAGTTCTGTCACTAATCAAATGGTTTGTTCATGTGTAAAGATTGCTACATGAAAGTGTAACATACAGAGTTCTGTCACTAATCAAATGGTTTGTTCATGTGTAAAGACTGCTACAGGAAAGTGTAACGTACAGAGTTCTGTCACTAATCAAATGGTTTGTTCATGTGTAAAGACTGCTACAGGAAAGTGTAATGTAGAGAGTTCTGTCACTGATCAAATGGTTTGTTCATGTGTAAAGACTGCTACAGGAAAGTGTAACATACAGAGTTCTGTCACTAATCAAACGGTTTGTTCATGTGTAAAGACTGCTACAGGAAAGTGTAACGTACAGAGTTCTGTCACTAATCAAATGGTTTGTTCATGTGTAAAGACTGCTACAGGAAAGTGTAACATACAGAGTTCTGTCACTAATCAAATGGTTTGTTCATGTGTAAAGACAGCCACAGGACAGTGTAATGTAGAGAGTTCTGTCACTAATCAAATGGTTTGTTCATGTGTAAAGACTGCTACAGGAAAGTGTAACATACAGAGTTCTGTCACTAATCAAATGGTTTGTTCATGTGTAAAGACTGCTACAGGACAGTGTAACGTAGAGAGCTCAGTCACTTAGCACACCAGACAGAGTTAGAGACTGTCCACATAAGTGATGGATTCACAAAATAATTAATGGGCCCTTTGAATTCTAGGGGCATATTGGGCATAAGATGATAGACACATTTTTTATACACCAATCAGAATGTGATGAAGTTTGGTGCAGGAGAGCCTAACATACATTACCACAACATCTAGCTTTAGAAGTGTACGAACAACCAGAATTTCCGCCTGAGTTCACAGCCGATGAAGGCAAAGAAGAAGATTAATGGAGGTAGAGGCGATCACTGCAGCTGTCTACTGGCTAAAGAACATGGTACACACCCACACCATGATTGTAACTGGCTCAGAAAGTGTGCAGAGGAAAGTGAGGACAGAGATTTTCGTGCAGAGTGGCATGTTCCGCTTTGGAGATCATGGGCGAAGAACATTGTCTGGGTCCTATCTGTGTGGTATGCCAGTGTGTTGGGAAATAAACAGGCTGACACACTGGCTGGCTCTGCACAACAGGGAGGAATACTGATGCATAAGGCAGAAATTGTTAAGGCCCTTTGGCAGCAAGTGTACAATTCAGAGGAGCAGACAGATCATCATCAATATCTGGAGAGAGCGATGCAGCGAGGAGTGACGAGAAGATCTGGTCGATACTCGACGCTGAGATGAAAGGCAAGACATATAATCAGACTGCTAGTGGTACCACTGGGACTTTGCGCTGGCTGCTGAAGATGGGGATGGAGTGCTTATAGGAATGCCATGAATGCTGTGATGTCAGTTCTTACATCAATTCAACTCAACTCAGAATGTAATGGGTGGATCACAATATGTTAATTAAAATGGGCATTCTTAAGCATTTTATTAGAATCAACCATGTGCCATCTTCACAGTGAAGACCGGCTACAAGGAATCTTCAACATCCTCCGTCTCTAACTCAGATCGTATGCTCTCTCTGATAGTTGCTCATCCAACTCTTGATGTTGACCTCTCACTTGTGCTGATTAATATTTCTTGCTTTCATATCTTGAAAGCACTTTATCTGATACTATGAGTGAGGACAGGAACAATTGTACTCGCTGATATTATCTAACTCCATGAGTAAGACAGGAACTAAAGTACTCTGATATTATCTAATTCCATAAGTGGGACAGGAACTAAATTACTCATTCTGATATTATCTAATTCCATAAGGGGAACAGGAACTAAAATACTCACTCTGATAGTATCTGATTAATTCCGCATGAGTTGTGAACTGGGACTTTGGCGTGATGTAACAGCCTCCATTGTCCAACTTCTTGATCTTGTAGTGCTTGACGCAGTCGCCTCGACTGGAGTCAATGTCATGAACACACAAGACATAGGAACCTTGAGACAAATTACCACAGCAATGTCTATAAAAAGAAATGGTGTGCAAACTGCAGTGTATAAACCATTTCTTAATTTTTAAAGAAATTACAAGAATAATTTATATGTAAAAACGATGGTCTACAAGTTGAGGAATTTCAGTTTTTCTTCTTACTCTAATAGCATAAATTTGTACTGGGACAACACCTCTAAAAGGTTGAGATGTTTCTTCTTCCTCTTTTTCTTCATTTTAACTGATTGTAAACTCAAGCAGAAAGTTCTGGGTGTTCGTCCACCTCCGGACTTTAGTCTTGTTCCACAATCTACCTGTTGCATGCACATCCGTTTAAAACATTTCGCTTATTTGTATGCAGACTCTTGGTTCCTTACCTCTCAGAGAGACACACTCCCACCTCGAAGGATGTCCACAATTAGTCGACTCCTACAACATGCTTGTTGGGGCGCCAGTGGGTCTATTCTGGTTTTTCCCACAATGTGGCCCCAGAACCGACACAGGGAGTGATGTTTCAACACCTGGCTGAAATCTCTTAGGACGCTATTTTCCTGTCTGTGGTCAGGAAACATCCCTTCTAATCTACAGCTCATTGTTGGTCCCAGTTCCTCCAGTGCAGGATTCAACTGTTGAAACAATTAAACTATCTTTAGTCTTGCTCTCCAGGCGCACTGTTCAGAGCCCCCATACTTGCTATTGTTGGTAGCTGGCAAAACCCTCCCAAATCTTGGATATCTGGTAAATGGAACAGTCATAGCTTGTGTAAACAAGTAGTTAGAAGAAACATCAACAAACCTGGGTCTGTCTCACTCTCTCGTACAAGGAAGGCTCCCAAGGGAGACAATGGAACTTTTAGCAGCCTCTCGGCATCCTTTCTGGTAATCTTGCCAAAAAACCAGCTGAAAAGTTACAAAAGTGACCAATCTTTCATTGTTATCTGCTTTAAACAGTCAACAATATCAATGTGTGCTGCTCTGTGTTGTAGAGGTAAGCAAATGAAGTTAACAATTTCACGATCCTCGAGGACTAGGGTTCGTTCCTCATGGACAATAGTACGGGAGTCAGGCTGTGAATGAGATTAGGGCCTCACCAGGTAATATTCCCAAAGACAACATTTGTACACAGTAGCCAACCTTCATTGTGGAGACGGTGTACAAAAATAATAACTAGTACAAATATAATAGTTATATATGACACATTCAGATCTTTGAGTCCCTAAGAACTTCCAATCTCTATAGTGAATTGGGTAGAAGAATTGAGGCTGGCTCCTACTGCAGCATAAAGACGTGTGCAGGTGGGACATGAATGATACAGGGGTTGGGGTGGATTCATGGAAACATGATGCTATGAACTGTATTGTATGGAGGGCAACAAGTGGGAAGAGAATAGGGATAAAAAAGAAAATGACTTCGATTTGTTTAGAGCTGAGAGTCAGAAAAAAAAAGCATAACTTTTCACAACAATGGTCTTGAAATCCCGAGCTCTCCTCTTCTTCTTCGGTTGTAAGCTCCAGCGGAAAGGTCTGGTTATTCGTCCATCTCTGGACTTGTCTTGGTCCAGAATCTGAGTGTTACGTATACATCCATTTATCTTCTTTCTTCTTCGATTTCACCAGCTGTAAACTCTGGCAGAAGGTTCTGGTTGTTCATCCACTTCTGGACAGCAGTCCTGTTCCAGAACCTCAGTGCTGCGTACACATCCATTCTACACACCTGACTCATCTGTATGCAGTCTGTTGGTTCCTTGCCTCTCAGGTGGATGCACTCCAACTTTGAAGGAAGCTCCCAGCTAGTTGACTCTGACGACACGTTGTTGGGTAGGCAGTGGGTCTATTCTTGTTTTCCCCACAACAGGACCCCGGAACCCACACGGGTAGGCAGTGGGTCTATTCTTGTTTTCCCCACAACAGGACCCCGGAACAGACACGGGGAGAAATCCTGTGCTCAAATTGTAAGACATTTTTTTTTAAACACGAGTGGGTTTTACTAGTTAGTCACAGGCCCCAACACCATGGGCAGTGTATGTGGTTACCATGTCTCTGCATCCCTGCAATCTAAGACCATTATCTGGAAACTAGCCAACAATCTTCATTGTCATTTGCCAGGCCAAGTATTGTGGTCGTTTAACTCAGTCAGCCAAGCCATGTATCGTGAGTTTATTCATTTTCACAAAAGTTAAAAAAAAAAAAATAGGAAAAAGTAAAGACCCTTTTCCCCGTCTTCAGGTGTACTAAGCATATAGGGCTAGATCTATATTTTATAGACCAACCAGCACTTGTTGGGTCAAGTGGTAAGCAACATACCGGCTGCCTTAACTTGGTACCCATTGAAGACCGACCTGGCTAGGAGCCAAGATCATTTCTGAAAACAGTCAGGCTCCTTAACCCATGACCTTGGGATCCGCAGGTGAGCATCTAGTCGCTACACCAGGTGGCGTCCTTATTTGTTTCTATTTAAAGTACATACTTTTATGAAAATGTAGTGTCCCAGGCTGAAAATACACAGACTCATTCTGTCTTAGTTGTAATTTCTTCTGTCAAACAATGTTCTTGTTTTAGCTCAGTAACACCCAAGCTTTTATTATCTAAAGTAACAACCTCTTAGGATATAAAAAGTTAAAATAACACATGCCTCGGACCGAAAGAGTTAAAAGTAGACTGAGATACTTAACGTCTCCATTCAAAGTATCCAGATGTTTACAGTCCTCTAGCCTTTCCCAAACAGACTCAAAGACTAATGAAAGAACAAACTACATAATTTTTGGGGTTCAACGGACAGAGGTAACCATACATCAGTGCTCCCTGGAGCTGAAGGAGCTAAGGGCTAATGACATTAAAAAAAAAAACTTACTCTTGGGACTCTAGCGTGTCCAACCGGGCAACAAAATTATATGGTACATAACCTTCCTGGCCATTTGCCAATTTGACTAGCCACCAGTCAGGATGTCTGAAAAAAGGGAAGCAGGTGTCGTTACAATAAATTACAAATTTAAAAAAAAAAAGACAAAAACAATAGACTGCAAAATTTAATGTCTAGCATATTTTATTATTGCTCAAAATGTGCATACTACAAGCAACAGGATTTTCAAAAAAAAGATGAAGCAAATAAATTTCACTGAAATTAAAATAATTATACATTAAAAAAATATCTCTGGGTTTTATCACAGTAAACATGTTCACAACCATGTCCTTTGTTGTTGTTGTTGTTGTTTTGTTTTTTTGGTTCAAATTTAAAATCGACAATAACTGTTTTCATTTACACCTTCTTTGATCAAATACACAATATACAATAATCACTCTTAATTACAATTTTTTCTTTGGTTAAAATTTACAACTGACAAAAATTATTCTCATTTACACATTATCTCCCACAGATAAGAGATGGGAAAAAAAACAAAGAAATTCAGTGAAAGAAATGCACAAATATTTGAGGAAAATCAAATGAGAAGTATTTCTAAAAGAATGTAGATATAAAACAAAACAACTCTTACGAGTCGTCTATAAGTTCCATATGGTCGCCTTTGTGGAAGGAGGTCTCTGATTCTGTTCTTGCCTGATAGTCGTAAAGTGCTGTCAGAATTGGTTTACCAGGTGCTACCGATGAAAAATGAATAAGTTTTAAAACATGAAATTTTCATCTGTAGAAATGAATACATTATTAGGTACTTGCTCCCCATGTGGATTAGACTGACTCCCCCCCCCCCCCCCACACCCTTACCCCCAAAGGTTAGTTGCATATCCTCTACAGGATGTTGCAGAACCAACATTGGCATTTTGGGGGGGGGGGGGGGGGTGTTGTGGTTTTTCTATGCACATTTTACACTCAGTAGTTTGCCATGGCTTTATGAATGGTCATCTTTCGGTATCACTGTCGAAACCAAAGCAAGACAAATCGTCAACAGCTGGGATCGAACCCGGCACCCCGGCATTATGAAGCACGTTCGCAACGCCTAAGCCACAGATGCCGACCCTCAACAAGCATGTCATAAAAGGTGATTTACTATGGGTTTGTCAAAACATGATGTTGAACCCAAACATCCCAGCTGTAGAACATAACACAACATGCCAACCACCTTGTCAAGGATCAATACAGAAGAAGAAGGACGTAGTTGCTGAAAAGGCCAGTATGAAACATGATGACAACAACGACTAATACTAATTAATTTACTCACTGTTAAATTCACTATAATCACAGACTTTACTAAGTCACAGAAAAAATAAAGTGGAGATTCTGAACTGAAATGCTTCAGAACAGTTCTAAGAATACCACAGATTAAGAAGAAGGCATGTCCCGTTGACGGCAATGTTCTATGAAGGACCTACTGACCGACAATGACGTTCCCTATGGGAGTCACAGTACCACAGTGGTAAGCACACTTTCCTCCTGACTTAAAGTCATGTGTTTAAATCCCTGTTGAGCCATGCATTTGTTGTTTTAAACTGAACTGGACAATGCAGCCAACAAGTCTTGAAGTCGGAGTACATGTGCCTGTTTGAGAGGCCAGGAACCAATAGTCTGCACTCAAATAAACCAGATCTGTAAAATGGATGTGCACACAAAACCTAACTTCTGGAACGAGATTAAGTCCAGAAGTGGAAGAATGACCTTGATATTCTGTTGGTAGGTGGGGTATCAAAATGGCTAGCAGCCAGGTAGGCATGGTACCATAATGGCAAGCCTGCTTATCTGCTGACTTAGTGGTCACTTGTTCAAACCCCCTATAGGTGAGTAGGTTTGAAAAAAAACCAAAAACACAGGAAATGACCCCCATCTTTCGAGTTAACCCAGCTTAAAAATGGGAACCAGGACATGGTCTGGAAAGTTCAGTAGCGGGCAGGATATTACAACATCACCAACTGAGTGCCAACTGGTCCAAAAACAGAACTAGCACAAAAACCCAATAAGCTTCAAAGTATGTAAGAGGGGTTTACTTTCTAAAGTGAACACTTACGGAATGGAAACAGCCTCCCATTGGAAGAGTGATGCTGGGATGTGTTTGTCGAAGTACTGTTGGATCTTGTTTCTTTTATGGCTGTCACATGATTCTTGACTTTAGTCTTACTTTTCCCGGCAGCCTTAGTGATGTTGTTACTGTTGTTGGAGTCAATGTTACTAAAAACTACCACATCTTTATTGGCGGCATCATCTGGCCGCTGGCAACAGTTACCCATGTTCTCCAGATAATATATAATTCCTTAGTTACAGTTTGAATAAGCCAGTTTTGACAGCTAAAAGCCCAGTCGACATTTATCAAAACAAATCTGAAGAAAACACAGTTTCTCCAGAGCAATTCCAGTTCACAGGGAAATCTTTAAAATTCTTTTAATGCTGCAATAAAGCTGGATTTATTGTATTCCGCAGAGTTTTAGCTTCGCTGCGATTCATTTTTGGCTACTGTGATTCTGTCAGTCTGATGCGAATGACTTTGTGGGTTACAATTTGAGTTGACAGTTCTGAAGAAAAATACAAGAAACATAAAGTTACTTTATTTATAGAAAAACTACAGAATGTTTAAATTACTACAATTTTCATAAAAATTATTAAATTACTGTATGCATGAGAAGAAATTGTCAGAAAAAATTATTTTATTTGAATTTTGGCGAGAGACCAAAACCCGAAATAGTAGGAGCTGTGAATGGTGACAGATGGGCTATGTAAGGGCAAGTTACAGTTGTAAAATTATGTTGCAAGTTGTATGTTATGCACAGAAAATTAAAACTGAGCAGTTGGGAGGAAGTTCGATGTGCATGAGAAAAAATATGTGAAGATCGATTGGAATGAAAGATGCTCTTGAAAAGTATTTCAAAGTCAACAACCTTTTCTTAGCAAGAAGATGAAATACACAAAAGAAGAAACCAGTCTGCTGGAACATCATTGGCACCTTTCCGTCTTTCCAGACGATAGTGTTATATTGCGCTATGAGGAGGCATGAGACTCACAGCCCATGGTGATGGCAAGTATGACTAGCAACACCCGCCCGTGTCAAGAAAAGTCTTCCACAATGATAGCATGGGATTTCGGGACCATTGTTGTCAACATTTGTGTTTAATCCGTTTCTTTTCAGACACTCAGCTCTCATCCTTTCTGCAATAATTTCTTCCTTCAGTCTCATTCCCTTCATGATATGCCCTTTCCACACAACACGGTCCATGGCATTTTGTTCCCATGAGTCCGCCTCAATACCTGTATCATTCATGTCCCGCTTGCATACATCTTTATAATGTAGTAGAGGTCGGCCTCAAAATTCTGCTGGAACATGTCAAGAAAATCTAGGCAGATGGGTTTTCTGTTTCACCTTATCTTGATCCTCTGGTACCTTGCGGTGTCGAGGTGAAGCATAATTTACGCGAAAGCGCCTCTCTGTGAGCTTCATAAATAGAGATTCCCAGGGACTCTCTAATTCCCTCTGTCCATCGCTTGCATGGTCAGCCTTTTCTTCGCTTACTCGCCTGGTGTTTACATCACTGCTTGCTGACATCTGCATTACATGGCCAAACTATTTCACTTGTTGTTGTATGAAATCCAGAGCTGCTGTTACCCTAATTTTCCTTCAGATTTTGTTTCTTATCTCAAATCTTTTTGTTATACTGACAGCCCTTCACAGGAATCTCATTTCAGTTGTAATTTTTCTTGTCTCTTGTCCAGGTCTGGCATTTATAACACAGGGTTGGCAAGAAGACTGGGTCATAGTTCTATTCTGGTCTCCACTGATAAATGCTTCTTTCTTAGTACTGGTGGCATTTGCCCAAAGAGTTGGTTTGCTCTGTTATATCTGTCATCAATCTTACCTTCTGTTTTGCCAGATGATGATATTAAGCTTTCTAGTATTCAAACTTCTTGATTTTTTTCAGAGGGTGTTCTGTAAGCTGCAAATTCATTGTTTTGTCTACTTTGGCTATAGTCATGACATGTTTTCTTGGCATTAGTTTTCAGGTTATGCTTTTTACAAATTTGGTTTCAATAATTTATATGGTCTTGCAGTTCAGTTTCTAGGTAGTAGCAATTAGTGCCTGGTTATCCCCAAATAGTAGTTCTTTGATGAAACTGTTTGGTTTGTATCATTTTCTTCTTGGTATGTTAGTCCTTTTTTGGTTGTTTTTTCTAACAGATATTATCAATGTAAGTTATGAATAGAAAAGGAGACAAACACAACCCTGCCGTACTCCAGATTATACAGTGAATGGTTCTAGATGTCTTCCATTTGTTCTTACACTAGATTCACTGTTTGTTATTAAAGCTTTTACATACGCTTATTAAATGTTATTCTTACCATAACTTTTCAAGATTTCCCATGGTTTGTTCCTAACTATTCTGTCAAATTGCTTTTTTTGTCTATGAAGGCTAAACAAAGTGTTTCATTAAATTCAGTTTATTTTTCCTTAAGCTGTGTGCTGCTGAGCACTCCTACTAGGGGCCGCAATATAGGCAGGCCATAAATATGGCCATTGTCTGAATGCGGTTTCTGGGACCTCTCCACGGCGATCCTCATTCACATGGTGGCACTTTGTGTCATCGGATGTTTATCGCTTGTGTGATGTCCTAGTGGGGTAGAAAGCCAGTCAGTCTTAAGCTGTCTAATAGCAAGGGTATGTTTTCTGTGTCTGCGGACATGAAAGGTCGAAGAACATCAATTATCAGACAAGAGGATTCCTCAGACTGTATTTAAAGCCGTTTATGGCTGGGCAAGGAGATTTATGGTACAAAAAAAACCTCAAGATTTGGAGCCGGACATCAATGGCATCAATTACCGTTACTGTTTTCATAAGGTACGTTTTAAAATGGTGTATTGTTTATTAATAAATTGTGTACAAGTGACATACAGGCTTCATATCTCGAATATAAGCCGCACCTTGTTTCTCATTGACGATTTTCGGTTAAAATAATGCGGCCTATACATGCAAATATAGAGTATATTTTGTTTACTAACATAAAGAATCTAGCAGGAAGCCGCAGTAGCGTAGGGGCTAGATGCTCTACTGATGACTGAAGGTTTTCTGTTCAAATCCACAAAGAAATGGATTTTTACAATATTTTTATTTATTAAACTGACCTTGGCTCTAAGGTCAACCCTGCCTAAAATGGGTCCCAGAAAAAGTAATGGGAGTTAAAGGTGAATCACATGACCACCAAACCAGCGCCAAATAATGTATACAAATATCAGTCTAGCATCATGCTACTGAAAAGGGTCCCTGACATAATTCATGGAGCCTCTGTGGTGCAGGCGTCTGTTCCTACTTTGTGTTCACTCCAGCAATAAAAGTTCTGGTGGTTTGTTCACTCCAGCAGAAAAGTTCTGGTTGTTTGTTCACTCCAGCAGAAAAGTTCTGGTGGTTTGTTCACTCCAGCAGAAAAGTTCTGGTTGTTTGTTCACTCCTTGAATTTGGTCTTGACCCAGAACTTGAGTTTTGCATACAAACCAGTTTCACAGATCTGGTTTATTTGTATGCAGTCTGTTTTTTGTCTTGCCACCCAGGCAGGTACGCTCTGACTTTGAAGGAAATATCCTTAATTAACTGCCTCTTTTCAAAAGCTTGTTAGAGGGCAGTTGGGCTATTCTTTGTTTTTCAAAGAACCCTCACAGGAATGGAAAGGG